GTCCGTCAGGCGGCCAAAGCAGCGCTGGGTGGGGTGGGCACCCCCACACTGCTCACCCGCGCGGTCGCCGGAACGAAGGACGTAGGTGCACGGACCAAAACCCCCACCCCGCTGACGCTGCGTGTACCACTCACGGAGCTGCTGGGGCGGGGGGATGTCCCGCGAACGCTGCTGCTGCTGCTGCTGCTGACGCTGGCCACCACCAGAGCCGCTACGCTGCGGGGCACCACCCCGACCAGCTCCACCCCCTCCACCACCGCCGCCTCCACCTCCACCACCACCGCTGCCTCCGCTCCCACCGCTGCCGCCACCACCGCCTCCTCCTCCGCTGCTGCCACCGCCACCACCGCCCCCGCCACCACTCCCACCGCCACCCCCACTCCCTCCGCCGCCTCCACCGCCACCTCCACCGCCCCCGCCAGTTCCACCCGCGCCCTTGCCCCCCTTGCCCCTGCCAGGGCGGCGTCTCCCGCTAGGGGCAGACGCCGCGCAGACCGACTCAAGACCAAGCAGGTCGGCAGCAGCAGCAGAGGCAACAGAGGGCAGCAGGGGGGAAGGAGAACACCCCTCAAAGATGGGGGTGCGAGGGTCACCACGAGAGGCTCCTACAGCGACGATGCTCTTCTCCGCCGCCAGGAGGGACTTCTCGAGGAGGTCGACAGTGAGAGTGGTGGGACAGACTGAGAGGAAGTGGTCCCTGACTACGCGAAGGGAGTCAGGGAGGCGTGTGACTATGTAATAGAGAGTGATGTACATGGGGGGGGGTTCTTGGCGCAGAACTCAGCAGGAAGGGCGGCGCGGTAGCGAGTGTCACTAGTGCGGAGGTGCGTAATGAGGTCAGCGACAGTGGGAAAGGCAGCAAGGTCAGGAAAGAGGTACGGTAGCATGAGGCGGCTCAGGGCAGCAGTGGCAGGGGAAGAGTAGCGCGCAACTACAGCGTCGTACAAGGTCTGAGCACTCTTGTACTGACTAAAGTGCGCACGCTCAGTGGTAGGCAGGTGGCGACGCACAGCAAGGCGTGCAGCAGCATCGCGGGTGGCCCACTGAGAGCGAACAGTGGGGTCAGCATCAGCAGCAGGGGCAGGAGAGGCGCCAGAGGTGAGGTCAAAGAGGGAAAGACCGTCCGCCCTATCGCACTGTAAGAACAGCTGCAGGTCGTCGACCCAGACCTCAAAGTCAATGGCTCGACCCTCAGCGTCAAAAGCGAGGACACTAGGGGTAGCCATGACGACGACAGTGTAGTAGTGCAAGCAGTAGGGGAAGGGCACGCAGTAACAGTGGTGCTGTGCTCACCAGGCAGGGCAGGTCGGGCGGCTCGGCAGTAGGGCGGCCCGGCGGCTGGGCGGCTCGGCGGCTCGGCTGCTGGGCGGCTCGGCTCCCGGGCGGCTCGGCGGCAGGGCGGCTCGGCGGCAGGGCGGCTCGGCGGCAGGGTGGCTCGGCGGCTCGGCTCCCGGGCGGCTCGGCGGCAGGGCGGCTCGGCGGCAGGGCGGTTCGGCTCCCGGGCGGCGACGCGAAGGTGAGGGCGGCGGGGCCGCGACGTGAAGGCGGCGGGGCCGCGTAGGCAAGGGCGACGGGGCCGCGACGTGAGGGCGGCGGGGCCGCGTAGGTGAGGGCGGCGGGGCCGCGAAGTAAGGGCGGCGGGGCCGCGACGTGAGGGCGGCGGGGCCGCGAAGGTGAGGGCGGCGGGGCCGCGTAGGCAAGGGCGGCGAGGCCGCGACGTGAGGGCGGCGGCGCCGCGACGTGAGGGCGGCGGGGCCGCGTAGGTGAGGGCGGCGGGGCCGCGTAGGTGAGGGCGGCGAGGCCGCGACGTGAGGGCGGCGGGGCCGCGTAGGCAAGGGCGACGGGGCCGCGACGTGAGGGCGGCGGGGCCGCGACGTGAGGGCGGCGGGGCCGCGACTTAAGGGCGGCGGGGCCGCGTAGGTGAGGGCGGCGGGGCCGCGACGTGAGGGCGGCTGGGCCGCGACGTAAGGGCGGCGGGCTCGCGTAGGTAAGGGCGGCGCAACGGGCCGCTAGGGGCGACACGGAGGGTCGCTAAAAAAAAAGGAAAGCGCGCCTCGGGGCGCGCTTCGGTGGGCCCTAGAAACAGTCCCTAGGAGGGGACCTGCTCTGATTCCATGTGGAAAGAAGAACGTGAAAATGGATGAACTATGACTGAAGTGAGTACATATAGGAAACCCTAATTGGGTTGTACCCCCTATGGGATACCCCACTATAGCCTACACAACAGCATAAGCTATATAATGTTCTGACAGTTTCACCTTTACTTTCTTCCCGATCTCCTTCACTTGATATTTAAGTACGTATGCTTTCTGTTATTTGTTTTTCCCTTTTCGCGTTTTCTTGTCTCTGTGGATGCTTTCCGTCCTACATACTCTCATTATTGCTTCAGTCATTTCGTCGTTCTTTGTTGCATATTTTCTGTCTTTCTTTTCTGTGCCCCCATCCCTATTATCGTCTCCTGTTTTCATCTGTTATCTACTACAATGTTCCCCCTGTTATATGCCTACTCATTTTCATACTCCTGTGGACTTTGTATACTAACTTTTGTTTACTTCTTTACTTGGAACGTATCACTTGCTTTATGAATTTATGCCTTCATTTGTATCGTGACATTTGAACATCTAGATATTGGTATTCGACGTCGTTTAGGTCGTGTGCATTTCCTTGCTATCTGTGTTCAATAAGCCAGCTTGTGGAGTTGCTTTTCAAAGTTGGCATCAATATCTCCCTCCTTTCCCCCCCTCCCTTCTCTTTTCACCCTTTCTGTTTCTCCCTTTCCTCCCCCCCTAGGCTTTGGTGTACATTTCGCGAAGGCATGTTCAATTTTAGAAGTGGAAAGATAGCAGTTGTGGTGCTTGTTTGTATGGTATTGTATTGTATTGATGTTTGATTGTTTTTACAGTTTGTGCATTGAGTTTTTGTGTTTGCGTGAATCTGTGTGATCTTGTATATGCATTTGTATGTGTGTGTGTGTGGTGTGGTTGTATGCATTCATTCATATCCATTGCAATAACAATGCATGTCTGTGATTTTTAAAAAGGAAGCTCAGGTCTATCATTTCACAAAAGGTTCATTGGCGCACTCAGTGACTCGTGTGCGACCACTTCGAACTGGATTTGATAGAGTTGACTTCGTTTTTAGACTTCACAGATTGTGTTGTTTCATGTGGTAGTTGATTATTCAAAAACTAAGCTATTGACCCCCCCCCCATGCTAGGCAGGGGATGCGGTAGCTTAGCTTTTGGGTTGTTAACTATCACGCATTTTTATCCATTTACCATCATGCACGTGTGCGTTTTTATATTCCACATTATACGTTATGCATACTAAAGCATTCTCCATGCATAAGCATCTATTCCACTTGTTTCATTACATTCATATAAGCATGCGTGTGAAATTCATGACTCAAGTAATTATCATTGCACCGAACAGCACGGTAAAAATATACTGCAAACAGGACAACAAACTATTACAATGAAGGAAAATCATTCCCCAAAAGACAGTGAACAATATCTAAAACTGCTCAACATGCACAGAATGGGAAGGGTATTACTGTAGTTTACGAATTGTATTTTCATGTTTTAATAAATATAAATGTGAAAACAATTTTTTGGCAAAATCGATTGTGAAGGGTTGCTTTGCAACCCAAAAAAAGAAAGCACTATCTAGGAGAAAGGATACAAGATGGTCTGAAATATATATATGTGTATATATAAATGGGAAAAGAAATGTAGCTTTCTCTGTGGTGTTCAATTGAGATGGATGGATGTTTCCAGGGGTGCATCGCGATTTAGAGCGGTTCGGTAGGCTCACCGAAATATACGCAGCGAATCACGACGTGGAGGAGAGAGGGGAGGGGCGGGGCGGTCCGAACACTGACGGCACCTACGGAACCTCCGCCACAGTCGGTCTTGTACACCCGCAGGAGTTCTCGATGGTGGTCATGTTCGTTGGACATCACGTTTATCTTTGGTTCTATCTGGTTCTTTATAATTTGTGCATGTCGCAGTACGTTTCAACGGTTTTTTGTACGGTGACGATTTTGGGAGTTAGCTGGCTGCTCAAGTGCCTGAGGAGAGCACAGTACTCGTGATGAACAGTAAGGTTTAGCACAGTGACGCTGACGGTGACCGTGACGGACGGTGACGGTGACGTTGACGGAGACGGAGACCGGCAGGTTATTACTACTCAGTTGCTTTCGCAAGCGGCCCGAAAATATCATGCAGGGCTCACAGGGTGCAAATTCGTCTTCTCAACTCGAGGTCGAAATTAGTGGCGCTTCGCGTCGTCCAGCTAAGCACGTAAGCTTCCAGGCGCCCGAAGACCCGTACATCATTGAGCATGACGTGGCCCAGCCTCCAGATGACGTGGCGAATCCTCTTCCCGAGGTTCCGGGGCAAGAGCTCCCTCTCCCGGGATTTGTCGATTACGAATCGGAATCATCTTTCGGACGCGAAACGTCAGCCGCCGATTTGGAAACGGGCTTCCGCGTGCGACAATTGGATTTCGACGCGACGCGCGAGACGCACTACGTGATCGTGGTGCACGGAACCTTCGACGCGCCACCGTCCGACGGAACGCGCACGTGGTATCAACCCGCGGATCCCGGCGAGCAAAACTTTTGCTCCAAAATTGGCGCTCTTCTGGCGCGAGGGCCGTTAAGAGCAGACAGCGTGTGGCGGGAGTTTCCGATCGGCAGCTTCGCGGCCGGCAAAGCTGCTCGCGGCCGGCAAGGCGCTGCGCCGTACCCTTTCCACTGGGACGGCACGAACACGCACAAGGGGAGGGTGGAAGCTGCCGAGAAGGTGCGGGAGGGGTTGGGTCTAGTCTAGTAGTGTGATTGTGGGTAAAAGGGTTACCCTGTAACAAGGACAACTTTCCTACCCTCTCTCTCTCTTCCCCCCTCCCCTCCTTTCAACTCTTACCCGTTCCCCTTCCTTCCCCTTTCCCCCTTCCCCCCCCCTCCCCTCACTCCTCCCCCATCTCCCCCCCGGGTCTCAGCTCTCTGTGCTTATAACGGATATTGCCCACAGTGACCCTGCAGCGAGGATACACATCATCGCTCACTCCCATGGGGGAAACGTGCTGCTCAAAGCGGCAGAGGTGGTCAGTGCTCCTTTGGACATTTTCACAATGATACACTTCTCCATAACTTTTTCCGCACATTTTTTTTTTTTTTTTTTTTTTTTACTCTCAAAAATCCAATAAATATTTGTACCTGTTTACCTGTTTCCCTCCCTGTCCCCCACTGTCCCCCATCTCTCCTTCCTCTCTCGACCATGACCACCATCTCTCCCTCGCCAGTACATGCGACGATTAAGCAACCAGTCACCAGCTGACCTGCACCCATTGGTGGAGCAAGAGTTTTGGGCGGCACACAGGCCCGGATACGATTTGATTCGCAAGTGGAGGAGTCCGAATCAAGTCAAATCTCGCTGGTCTGGGTGGCGGCGGTGGTTGCCCACGCCCATCGTGTTTCAAAGGTGCTGCCCTTGAGCCGACACATGATTTCTACGATGGTTTTCTTGTTTCATATATTTTCTGTACTTGAATTGAGCTCACTGTGATTTTTTTTTTTTTTTTTTGTTATGTAGTATCTAAATATTCTCCCCTATTGCTCCATCCATACCCCTCTCCATCCATATCCCACTCTCTCCGAAGAGGCCTACACCCCAGCACGCACAAGCTAAAACACCAGGAAGGCCACCCCTGGGGGCGCTGCTGCTGGCTTGACTCCCTCCTTTCCTCCCCTTGAAGATTCAATCAACACCCCTTCCTCTCCCCACCCCGTCCCAACCAGCCTACACCCCAGCACGCACAAGCACAAGAGCCAGGAGCGCTACCCCTGGGGGCGCTACCGCTGGCTTGACTCCCACCTCGGCCTCCCCTTAAGCAGTCATTCAGTTAACACCTCTTCCTCTCCCCCCTCCCATCCCCTCCCAACCAGTCTCCACCCCAGCACGCACAAGCACAAGCACCAGGAGCGCTACCCCTGGGGGCGCTACCGCTGGCTTGACTCCCACCTCGGCCTCCCCTTAAGCAGTCATTCAGTTAACACCTCTTCCTCTCCCCCCTCCCATCCCCTCCCAACCAGTCTCCACCCCAGCACGCGCAAGCAGAAGAGCCAGGAGCGCTACCCCTGGGGGCGCTACCGCTGGATCGACTCGCTCCTCGGCCTCCCAGCCACCCGGCAGCGCCTCTTCCTCTCCCACCGCCTCGCCACCTCCCCCCTCTCCAACGCCCTGGGCTCTCTCGTGTTCCTGGGAACGCCGTTCTATGTGAAGAAATGGGACCGCGCAGGGGTGTTCCGGCTGGTGGTGGCGACGGTGGTGTCTGGTGCAGTGGTGTTTGGAGTGGTGCTGGGGTATGTGGTGCTCTGGGAAGTGGTGGTGATGGAGGCGGCGCATTTGGAGGTGAACCGGCTGATGCTGTGGCCTCTGGTGGTGGTGGCGATTGTGGGGCTGTTTGGGGCCATCAGTATCGCCGTGCAAGCTTATTTATCTTTTGAGGTATGTGACGAGCCTAAATTCTTATCTAGTGTGCTAGTCAGTTTCCCCCCCAGAAAAAAAAAAACAAAAAAAAGAGAGAGAAAGAAAGAAAGAAAAGAAAAGAAAAGAAAAACAAACACACACACACACACACACACACACACACACACACACACACACACACACACACACACAAACACACACACACACCACTGGTTCATCTGTTCAGTTCTGTTACTGGCCTCCCTCTCCTCTCTGCCTTCCTCCCTGCAGTCGTGGCACCAACCGGCCTACTACAACGGCAACATCTACCACGCGCCCGGTTGCCACTGGTCGCCTGCCATGTCAGCACTCGTGATCCACGCTGGCAAGCTGGATGAAGCCAGCCTGGCACTTTCCGTCGAGCCAATTGCGCGCGCCTACGTCTTTCCCCAACTGAGGGAGTTAATCAAACTCTCCTTCTGGTTCCCCCTTCCTCCCCTCCCCACCTCCGCCTCCTCCTCCTCTCCCTCCTCTTCCTCGTCTTCCGCGTTCCTTTCCTCCTCCTCTCACTCTCGTCCTTACAACACCCAAGCACGCCCCTTCCTCCTCTGGTTCCTATACTTCATCAATCTCATTAGAGTGCTTCTCTGGAACATCATTTTCCTCGTGCCCTTCGCCCTCCTCTCCCTCATTTCCCACATACTGGCACCGGCGTTAGTCGAGACAGTACGGAGCGTGATAGTAACAATCGCATTCGGTCTTTCCCCCAACGAGCTAAGCTTCGCAAGTGTGTATGTAGATGAAGTGTTAGATCTCCACCTGTGGTCACACCACGTGGAGCACTGGAACGTTCAGAAGCTTCTGGCTGAGGCCAAGACACAGTCTTTGCAGGGGAAGCTGTTACCCGGTTACCACGACGATACTGTAGATGCGGGTGGGGGTGACAGTGAAGGGGGTGAGTACATGGAGGGGCTGGGTCTGGGTGGGGAGGGGGGTGAGGCGGGTTGGCTTGAGGAACAATTGTTATTGTCACGGGGAAGGGAAGTGGGGAGGAATGGGGAGAGAGAGAAGGGGAGGCAGGAGGGGAGGGAGGGGAGAGAGGGGGAAGGTGATGGGATGGAAATAGAAGCAGCGGCAGGAGCAGCAGGAGCAGGAGAAACAGCAGGAGCAGGAGCAGGAGCAAAAACAGGAGCAGGAGCAGGAGCAACAACAGGAGCAGGAGCAGGAGCAAGAGCAGAAGGAGCAGGAGCAGGAGCAGGAGCAGGAGCAGAAGTAGCAGCAACAGCAACAGCAGCAGCAGGAGGAGCAGAAGCAGAGGCAGAAGCAGCAGGAGCAGCAGCAGCAACAGCAGCAGCAGAAGCAGGAGGAGCAGAGGCAGAAGCAGCATCAAAGCCTCCCACACACCTCCCTAGAAAGTTTCCCTCAACACCACACACCATCGCATATCACACCTCTGCTTTGCCACCCAAACATCCCTATCACCCCAGTCCCACCCCTCGAAATAATCACCTGCCTGTAACACTCCTAGAGCATCACGTGCCTTCCTTCCCGTCACCGCATCAGCACATGGTGGTAACCCCGTTACAGCACCAGCACATGGTGGTAACCCCGTTACAGCACCGCCTTCTTGTAACGCAGAAGACCCTGAGGAGGAGGAGACAGATTGCAGGAAACGAATCACGAGTAGATTCGTTTGGATCCTCTCTTTTCGTCCCGTCTGACACTCCTTCTGCAGGTGATGCTGCTGCTGCTGCTGCTGCTGATGATGATGATGCTACTGCTGCTGGTACAGCTTTGCCTATTGCTCCTTCACACACTGCCCAGGTGAAACTGCAAGGAATTGATAGGGCCCGCTCTTTTGCCCGCACATGGCTTTCCCGGGCAGCCCGGTCGGAAAAATTAACGGAGAGTCAACTGCTCCGAAATAAATCCTTGGGAAATCACGCTGTGGAGAGCAATTTCTCGGTCAGACCGAGGGCAAAAAGTGTAATGGCAAACGTGAAAGGAGTCCCTAGGAGTAACAGCAGCAGCAGCAGTGGGAGCGAGAGCGGGAGCGATAACAGGGGGGACAGAACTGGGGATGCAAGTGACAGCAGGAGCAGTAGCAACAATAGGGGCCAGAACCCAAGGGAACTTGTTGACAATGGCAGCAGCAGCAGGAGGAGGAGCGAGAGCGGCGAAGGCAGTAGGAGGAGCGAGAGCAGGCAAGGGAGTAGGAAGAACCTTTGGGGTTGGATCAGATGGGTTGAGAACGGTGAGGATGGTAACGATGTGGGTGAGAATAGTGGGCGCCAGTCTCAGGATGCTACTGAGGAGGCTACTATAGGGGATGGAAGAGGAGCCTCAGGGCATGAGAGCGAGAGGGGGGATGGTGGTGTGGGTGAGATGGTGGGAGGTGGAGAAGGGAAGGGGGTTGAGGTGGGGGGTGCAAGGGGCATGGGGACGGTAAGGGGTGTTGGGGCGGCAAAGTGGAAGAGAGTGGGAGGCTGCATAGAGGAGCCTGTTTGTGATGATTCTGTGGGGGCGGTGGGGGCAGTGGGTGGGTTCGACGGTGGTTCGGCGGGTGCTTCGGCGGGTGGTTTGACAGGTGGCTTGGGAGGCGCAAGGTGGAAAAGAGTGGGAGGCTGCATAGAGGCGCCTGTATGTGATGATTCTGTTGGGGCGGTCGGTGGTTCGGTCAGTGGTTCGGTGGGCGGTTCGGTGGGTGCTTCGGCGGGTGACATCGGTGCTTCGTCGCTTGCAGTTTCATCTGCGGTTGAAGCGGACGAGGAGGAGGTGGACTTTCTCCTGGAAGAGCAGGAGGGCAAGGAAGACTGCGGTAATGAGAACGATGAAGAGGCGGGAGAGAAGAGAGAGGAGCAGCAGCAGCAGCAGGAGCAGCAGCAGCAGCAGGAGCAGCAGCAGCAGCAGCAGCAGCGGCAGCAGATGGAGGGGAGTGGAGAGCAGCAGCAGTTGCTGTACGAGTTTCTGTGGGAAGACAGCAAGCTCGAAGAGGCAGCAGCAGCATCAGGCACATACCAGCTGCTACGATCGGAGATGAGGCGAATGAAGAAGAACCCGCGGCTCTCCGACAGAGAGTTTGTGCGCCAGGTATGGCAACACTGACTTGTATGCTTGAGTTGACTCGAAACAGCGTTGTGCAAGTCTCTATGGGAGGAGAATGAAGAAGAACCGTCGACTCTCCGTCAGAGAGTTTGTGCGGCAGGTATGGATGGTGGCAGGTATGGATGGTGGCAGGTACGGATGGTGGCAGGTACGGATGGTGGCAGGTATGGATGGTGGCAGGTATGGATGGTGGCAGGTACGGATGGTGGCAGGTACGGATGGTGGCAGGTATGGATGGTGGCAGGTACGGGTGGTGGCAGGTATGGATGGTGGCAGGTACGGGTGGTGGCAGGTACGGGTGGTGGCAGGTATGGATGGTGGCAGGTACGGATGGTGGCAGGTACGGATGGTTGCAGGTACGGATGGTGGCAGGTATGGATGGTGGCAGGTATGGATGGTGGCAGGTATGGATGGTAGCAGGTATGGGTGGTGGCAGGTATGGATGGTGGCAGGTATGGATGGTGGAAGGTACTGGTGGTGGCAGGTATGGATGGTGGCAGGTACGGATGGTGGCAGGTACGGATGGTGGCAGGTACGGATGGTGGAAGGTATGGATGGTGGCAGGTATGGATGGTGGCAGGTATGGATGGTGGCAGGTATGGATGGTGGCAGGTACGGATGGTTGCAGGTACGAATGGTGGCAGGTACGGATGGTGGCAGGTATGGGTGGTGGCAGGTATGGATGGTGGCAGGTATGGATGGTGGCAGGTATGGATAGACGAGCACATAGGCGAACTGACTGGCCGGTTTGACCTCAACCACGGAGCATATTTCAGAGACCCGTGCATCCCTGCTGTCATCTCTCACTTCTGTTCCCCATTGCGTTCCCCCTTGTCACGTAGATCAAACAACTATTCGGTCATGATAGAATGGCACATTGGCAAGCTCACCAGCCGCATGTATCGGTATGACTTTTGAGAATTCTCAAAAGTCATACCGATAGAATAGAACATGGGCGAGCTCACCAGCCGCTTCGACCTCCACCACAGGCATACTTCCGAGACTCGTGCATCCTCGCTGTCATCTCGCACTTCCTGCAGCAACAGGAGTCCCTGTCCCTTGCCTCTCCCTTTCCCCCTCACAGATCAAGCAACTGTGCGTCATGATAGAGGAGCATATCGGAGAGCTGACAGGACGCTTTGACCTGAATCACGGCGCATACTTCCGAGACCCGCGCATCCTCGCTGTCATCTCGCACTTCCTGCAGCAACAAGAGTCCCTGTCCCTTGCCTCTCCCTTTCCCCCTCACAGATCAAGCAACTGTGCGTCATGATAGAGGAGCATATCGGAGAGCTGACAGGACGCTTTGACCTGAATCACGGCGCATACTTCCGAGACCCGCGCATCCTCGCTGTCATCTCGCACTTCCTGCAGCAACAAGAGTCCCTGTCCCTTGCCTCTCCCTTTCCCCCTCACAGATCAAGCAACTGTGCGTCATGATAGAGGAGCATATCGGAGAGCTGACAGGACGCTTTGACCTGAATCACGGCGCATACTTCCGAGACCCGCGCATCCTCGCTGTCATCTCGCACTTCCTGCAGCAACAAGAGTCCCTGTCCCTTGCCTCTCCCTTTCCCCCTCACAGATCAAGCAACTGTGCGTCATGATAGAGGAGCATATCGGAGAGCTGACAGGACGCTTTGACCTGAATCACGGCGCATACTTCCGAGACCCGCGCATCCTCGCTGTCATCTCGCACTTCCTACAACACCGGTCGCTTCCCGATTGGTCCAAATCCCTTGATGTGGATTTGCTGCGCGTGCAGTCGCTAACTGAGCTCGCACAAACAGCCTCAGGGCAAGGAACGGGCAGGGGGGGAGATGGGGACGGGGAAGGCACAGGGGATATGGGGTGTGGGTCTGGTGGGGAAGGTATGGCAGGTGTGGCTAGTGTGGCACGCATAGGAGAGGAGGCAGAAGGGGAGTTGGAGGAGTTATCAAGGCTGGGTCTATCGAAGCTGGGGATATCAAGCTCTGGGGGTGGTGCAAGTAGCAGTCGGACTCCCAGCATGGTGGGGTTCCGAGGGAAGCGGAGCAAGAGTGAGAAGAGGAGGAGCAAGAGAGAAGGGAAGAGGTCCTGGTCCGGTCAGCTTTGGCTGAGCCGAGGTTTTTCCGGGCAGCTTTCCTCCAGCGCAGCTTCTTCTTAGTATTTAGTCAAGTCAGGATTCTTTGGTACGCGGTACCTTCCTCCTACTCAGTGTTTTTCCACAGGAGTAGTACCGTCCGTACTATCGCATCATCATCTCATCATGTTGTCTCCTGCATCATGACTACATTGCAATGTGATAAGGCAACAACACTGGTCATCCCGACATGTTCTCATCCAGCCCAGCCAAGTCATGTCCTCCTTACTAAACCCCAGCCATAGCGCCTACTAGGTAGCAGTCTAGCAGGATCAACCAGCACAGCCTAGTATAGCATGCACGGCAGTGCCCAAACCTCGGGGTGGGAGAGATTATGCAATCTGGTAACACATGTTTATCCTCTCGATATACCTTACTGTAATGCAATGTGGGTTACAGTCCAGCAGGATAGGGGAGGTCAACCCAGCATGTATGCCGGTGTCCGAATCTATGTGTTTTGGGGTGGAGGAGAAAACGTGTGACTGGACTAAGACGTCACAAGGCAAGACACATGTTTATCCAATCAAAACACCCGACCCGTTACGCAGTGTGGTACAGTCCAGCAGGATATGGGAGGGGAGGTCCCAGCATGTTTGCTGCCGATGTTCAATTCAAGCCTCTGCGTCTTGGGGCGGAGGAGAATCTCTGCCAGCAATAAACTGTTATGACCTCATAAGGCAACACATGATCCGCTGCTCAAGACACCCCAACCAGCAGTGGAGGGGAGAGGGAAACACATGTGGGTCAAAAGGAAACAGGAGAGGGGAGCTCTCAGCCCAGCAGGTGTGGCGGTGCCCGAACCACTGGGACTCGGAATGGAGAATCTCTGTTAGCAATAAACTGTCATAATGCAACACATGCTCTGCTGCTCAATACACCCCAACGACTAAGCATTGTGGGCTACAAAGCAGGAGGATAAGCCAGCTCAGCCCAGCAGGTATGGCGGTGCCCGAACCTCTGCGTCTCAGGGTGGAGGATCTCTGCCAGCACCTCCAGGGACTCCACCAGGCTCGGCCCGGGCCTGGAGAACAGCCTCGCAGCCTCGACCACAGCCATGGTGGGCAGGCTCGGCGATGGGCTGTGTGCTGCCCTTGCACCTACCGAACCTCCTCCTGCTGTTGCTGATAATGATGGTGGCAGTGCTGATTGTGCCGCTGCTGCTGATGATTGTAAGGACTGTTCTATCCCCCCTGTACTTCTCCCACCTTGAAACATTTTCCATTTCTGCACAGCCTCTCGTTTCACCGCAGCAATGGACGCCGGCAAATCACAGCCGCACACCGCAAAGATCACCGTATCAGCGGCTCTGATTAAATCCTGGAGCTCCTCTTCAGGAACCATCCTGGAACTTTCTGATCCTGTGCCACCGGCCAATCGGATCAAATCTGGGACCCATGCCCCTGCCAGGAAAATCGGATCCAGCCATTGGATGCACACAACTTTTTTTCTCGGTCTGCCCGCGCACATCCCACGAACAGTCTGGATTCGCTGCATGAGGTCCTTGGCCATGGATTCGGCGCGCTGCGATTGGCCGAGAGCAGCGCCGATCCGACGGACGTCGTTGATCGCTTCGACGAGGGACGGAGGGTCGAGATGAACGATCTTGACTTCTGACCCAAGCACGTGAGACAGCACGTTTTGAACATCCTCAAACGAAAGCACCTCGGGCTCTTCTTGCAGCTGATTGGTCGAAAAGGAGGGGGGCAGGGAAGGAGTGGGTATGGAGGGTTGGGGATGGGGATGGGCATGGGAGGTTGTTGTGGGCCTAGCACATGAGAGCGCCCGTTTTTGTCACGGGTCCGTCTGGTGAGACGGGCAAAGGACATCAAGATGGGAGGAGAAGAAGAAGGATAACTGATTTGAGGGGTTGCATTGAATGCGGTGCAATGGGGTAGGCCGGGATGGAATGAGAATAAGAAGAAGTGCATTTGATGGAGTGATGTTATGCCCCGGCGTGGGGACGAGTGTTACATACATCTCTCACCCGCCCGCGTCACAGTTACATCTCATTCACCTGCGTGAGTATGACGTCTGGTTGAAGGCGTTTCAGCATGGTGACATCCACACGGTAGGGCGAGAGAAACCACTCCAGCAGCAGATCGAACGAGGGATCAGATACATGAGGAGACGAGGCAGCAGCAGCCGCACTACCCACACTATCACCACCCGCAGTAGCAAGAGAGGCAGCAGGCGCTTGTGGCAGAGGCGGCAGGAAGGCCAGCTGCCAGGCCGCGGAGGCTCGGAGCGTTGATATTGCCATGTGCACCTCGGCTTGGGACATTGCAGGCTCGGCCGAGCCTGTGATTGCCGGGCCTAGCTTAGGCTCGGTGCAGACAGGGATGGAGTCCGTACCTGGTGCGTCGCACTGGGAAGGAGGGTTGGAGAGAAAGAGAGGAGGTGAAAGGAGACGTGAGGGGTTGATGGAGAGAGTAATAGGCGAATAAGGAGGTGGAATGGAAGAGAGGGGAACAGGGGAGGTGGAGAGACGAGAAGGAGAGAGGAGGAGGAAATGTAGAGATGGGAGGAAGACTGATAATAGGCAAATGGACACCACAGTTCCGTTACTGTCACGGTTTCTACCATGCAGTCACGTTCACCAGAGTCACATTCACCACAGCCGCATTCACCACAGTCACATCGACCACAGCCGCATTCACCACAGTCACATTCACCACATTCACATTCACCACAGTCACATCAGTCACATCCATCACAGTCACATTCACCTCGTGCGTGCGCGCAACCAGCGCACTCGTCAATCCCAAGGCCGTCACAGAGTCCGTCGCGGCCGGCAGCAGCGACACCACGCGAAGCTTCCATTCCGACATCCTTGCGGTCTAGCCGGTTTCTCGGCTTCCTAGCCGGGACCAAACAGCTAACGGCCTTCTGGAACGACAATGTGATTTGGTGACGGTCTACGGAACGACGATGCGAGCTAGTGACAGCTCACGGGACTACAATGTAGCTTAGAGATAAGATACTCACGACGCACTCCGACGGACCTTAGACTAGCTCTGTGGCCTTCGAGATCGTCAGAGTTCTGTCACTGGACCAGCGTAGCGAGCGCAAAAAAAGGATATTTTCGCGACACGAACGACGAGGGTTTTGCTGCAAGGAAGAAACGAGTTGTTTCCCAGCACCAAGTTTTCTCAAGGGAATTGGTATGATTCCTCGTTAGAGAAGGTTCGTTTAAGGATACGGAAGTGGACGCTTCGCTCAACGGAAGCCTAATAAACAAGATCACAAAATTGACATACGCAACCTCATGATGTACCAGAAAAGCAATATTAGGAATCTATTGCAACATTACAGCGATAACAGGTCGTTGAGAACTGATGCCTTCGCATCTACTCTTTTATTTTCCTTTTTGTATGATCCCCCTTCAGAGTCGCGCCCCTTCTGGTCTAAGGCCGCACCCCTAGCATCCAAACCAGCTCCTAAAGCTGCTTTCTGCTTCCCAACCTTTCCTAGAGTGCTCTTCTTACCACCAGCATTTCCCGATACGTTCTTCTCACCCTGTAACTTCCCAGCAGCTGCAACTTGAGGCCGTGGTTTCAACACCATCCCTCCATCATGCATCAACCCTTCCTCGTTAGTTGGTGTTCCACTCATCCCAACACTAGGCCTGTTCACAGCCTGATCGTCAACTCCCACCATCCTTGCCGCAGCACCGATGCCTGCCAGCTTTCTCTCTTTTTTCTCTCTAGTTCCAATGCTTAATGGCCCTGATTCTTCCCCGGCCTTCCTCTCCAATAGATCATCTTCCCGCTCGTCCCCTTCTTCTCCTTCTTCCCTCTCTTCTTCTTCTTCCTCTTCCCCCTCCTCCACTTCCTCCCCCTCTACTACCTCTTCCCCATCCTCCACTTCCTCCCCTTCTTCTCCCTCTTCCCTATCCTCCACTTCCTCCCCTTCTTCTCCCTCTTCCCTATCCTCCACTTCCTCCCCTTCTTCTCCCTCTTCCCTGCCAGCTCCCCACTCTTCACCATCCACCTCCATCTCCCCTTCCCCCTTCTCCATCTCCTCATCTCCCACCTCCACCTCACCCTCCCCCCCCTCACCCTCCTCGATCTCTTCTCTGCCCCCCTCACTATCCGTCTCCCCATCTTCCCCACCTTCCCTCCTGCCATCCTCCCTCCGCCCCATCCCCTCTTCTCGCCCCCCATCCCCATCATCTCCCCCAAACCCCTCATCCCAGTCGCCCCAACCAGCCATCCCCTCCCCTCCCCATGCCTCCCCACTGCCAAACACCCCCTGTGTCTCCACTGCTCCCACTACCCCTTCAACCCCCCTATCCCCAATCACCATCCCCGTCCCCATCACCACCCCCCTGTCCCTCCCTCTCCCCCGTCCCCTACCTCTCCCTCCTCCTCTGCCCGCCTGCCCTTCCTTCCCGCCATCGTTGCTGACCGGGGCAGAAACAAAGTCTCCAAACCCCAGCTCCTGCATCAGTGCTGCCATGGACGGCCCATCAGCCCCAAACGGACCCCTGCCTCTCTCTCCACCATCTCTGCCGTTACCGTCCTCTCCTCTCCCCTCCCGTCCTTGCCCCTCTGCCCCTTGATCCTCTCCTCCTTGATCTCCTCTCCCTTGCCCCTCCCTCTCTTTCCCCTCTCCTAGTTGGCCTTTGAGCCTCTTGTTGTGCCTTGCCTCTGCTTCCTGTGCCTCAACGGGTGCTCCGGGTGTGCCTGTAAAAGGTGCAGCGGGTGAGGCTGCTACAGCTGCTACAGGAGAAAGTGTGGCGGGAGCAGCTGCCATATTCTCCTGTGCAGAAAAAAGCACGTCTGCAGTCATTTCAAGTGCTCCACTCTTCATCTTCTTGTTCTTCTTGCTGCTGCTGGTGGTGCTGTTGCTGTTGCTGTTGGTGTTGGTGCCGCTGGTTGTGGTGAGCCCAGGAGTAGGGAAGGCACGGGAGGAGATGAGGAGGGTCGAGGCTTGCCATATGTGATATAGGCGGGGAGGGAGAGTTGGGGGAAGGGGGACCTGAGTAGGGGAAGGGATGGGAGGGGGAGAAGGGGGGTGAAGGATGGGTTGCGGGAAGACAAGGTAGCGGTTTGCAACGATGCAATGATAAGGATGACAGTAGCTAGCTGCAGCTTTGGTGATAGGAAAGAGAGAGGTCAACAGAGGAAATGAATGCAAGCAAGGCAGTCACTAAGAACAGAACCTATAAACGATTGATGTAGACAGTTTAATGAGAAGAATAGTGAGGCAGAGCAGCATGCAGTGCGAGAGGAGCAGTATGAGTAGCCAGGCAGAGCAGGGCAATGCACAGTACGAGAGGAGCAACACGAGCGGTTAGGAAGAGCAATGTGGGGTGCGAGAGGAGCAGTATGAGTAGCCAGGCAGAGCAGGGCAATGCACAGTACGAGAGGAGCAACATGAGCGGTTAGGAAGAGCAATGTGGGGTGCGAGAGGAGCAGTATGAGTAGCCGGAACGTGGTGACCGTGGTCTACCTTGCCTCTTGCTGCCGTCGCTGTCAGGCGATTATAAACCGAAATGTGGTGTAGCTGACACTGTAAAAGTAGAAATAACGCCCAAGCACACGAGAACACAAACATAATGCTGCAGATGAAGAGGCACGCATCAACCAACAGCATACCAACATTAAGCAACACGAAGACAACAGACAAACGAGTACCACTTAGTGCCTCTAAAAAGCAGGGTTAACGCAAAAAATACACACCTGAAGCAAGAGGATGTAGAGCCGACCCAAACAGGCGAAGCTCGTGACACAGAGAGGGAGGAAGCGCTCCAGTATAACCAGACCCGCTATAAGGCTGGAAAAGGGGACGAACAAATACCACAGTAACTCCCTTGCAATTCAAACAATGGGCTGAATCCTCGATCACTGAGCTCAAAATAGAACAATGCCAATGTTTACAGAAAGGTTTGGTGCTCGACGGATAATACAGCAGAAAGGGGTATAAGGAGTTTGGGTTTCGGGCATTGAACCTTACCGCGCAGCTCGAATCATAAGACATGTAGTCTGAGAGGGACGGACACGGGACGACGCACAGGGGACATGGAGGAAGGATGGGAGAGGGAGGGAGTGAGGGGGGAGGAGGAAGCACGGAGGGGTTGGGAGGCGGGGACAGAGATCACCAAGTAGGAGGAAGACGGTGAAGGCGAGAGATGGAGTATGTGCGTTGGGGGTCCATACATCAGATGAATGTAGAGAAAATTATGAGAACAACCCGCAACACAGCGCTTGAACGTACTGTTGGGAATTCTACTGGAACCGACTTCACTCTTGAAGGCAATGTAGAGAGAATACGAGCCGCCTGTAGTCACTTCCTGTCGGGAGAACTTATGGAAGCAACTTACCTCTTGAACATACTGTAGAGAGAACACGAGCCGCCTGGACTGACAGCTGAGCTCCGGGCTTTGCGCGACCGCCAGCAGCGCCGGCGGCGAGGCGTCTTTAATCTCTTGTAGCAGCTGGAGGACGTTTGAAGAGAGGAAGTCTCTTATTCGACGGTGAAGCTGAAAGGGAGAGAGATTGGTAGATGGGTGAGGATACAATGAAGATGCGGGGAGGATTTAAGAATGGATTAGTTAGATGTGGATTACCAACGCTTCTAGGTTACCTGACGAAGCGCATGAAAATATTTCCCGTGTCGGTGCTGGCTGCGATTCTGACGTAACAACTTCCCTAGAAGCGCTGTTTCAAGCTGCAAATCGCTCTCCATACGCGCTGTGAATTTAGGAATAGGGTTTCGTCAGTCGGCGCAATTGAATCTATTCCAGCCCAACTGAAGTGGTGGATCGAATTTGTCGTGAAAGGTAGCAAAGAAAGCACTCAGTACAGCTATAGCAGTGGGGCTTGCATCCAACCACAGAACCGTCGCTACTGGACTTGCTCCAGACAGTGAGTACTCGATTTTCCTCGTTATTGACATGTGAGTGAACCTCGGATAGGCCATGTGTGCGCACGAAATTCCGACTTCTGTTATCCAGTTTGTTACATATTTTGTATTTAGCTTGCGTCCCAACCTTGTGCTCCCGCACAAACATTTGAGCTGGCTAATGTATTTCTTGTTCCCCGCCAATTTCACGTCATCAGACTTTTCTTACGAGACACCCTGGTCTAAACTACGAGACCCCTAAAATTCCACTTCGTGCTACCACATCCACTAAGTGGAATTTTAGGGGTAAGAAAGCGTGCAACCTTCTGTGTTCTCTCTCCCTGAAAGATGCCCTCTTGAAATTAAAAAAAAAACACGCTTAATGTACCAGAAATGGTTGCCCGAAGTCCACAGGTGTGAAAGCGGTGCTGTGTTGAACTTGTCGCAACGTTATCTGCCGGCGGCGTTCCAGGTGCAAAACAAGGATGGAGAATTGTGCCCGGCAGATCGCAACCGAATCCTCTTTCTACCAATGGCGTTTAGACAGTAAAGCTGCATTTGAAGATTGGACTCAGGTCAGGAATGTTTATTTAGGTTGAGCACCTAAACACTAGGAGTAATCATTCTCGAGCATGGAACTGGAAATGGTCAAGCGTCTGACGAACCAAGTTTTTTCCTGGTCAGCATGCTCTGATATTTTGGAACCTGTTGGTGTCGCACACGGCGCAACCTCCGGCTCCGTAGCACAAGTTGAGCTGTCACAGCGTGCGAACGCCGGAAGTGTTTGGGGAGAATTGGATAGCGGGTTTTTTTTCCGAATCGATCCTCCTCACTAGAACTGGCAGCATCCAAGTTGGGGAATGATCATACTGGGGCCTCGGATTAGCAGAAAGATGGCCAACTTGGGGCCTCATGATTCGCGACCCTACGAAGGAGGCCCGAAGCCACCCACAAGCCTAGGCAGCTAGGCCGAGCTCGCCACGTCACCACCTGCTGGCTTGGGCTTGACGGATTTCGCTAGCACCCTGGTTCACGGGAGCAGTGCTCGTCAGACCATTCAAAATGGGCAGTACAGATACTTCAGCAAAATAACCCAGAAATAAACATTTTAGCCCGAAAATATTTTCGTAGTTGTAAAAAACAAATCCAATTGGATGGCATAAAATTGGGGAGGCAACAACCCTAAAAACATGCGACAATGTGTTTAGGGTTGATGCCTCCCTGACCGGATGCATGCCCGTATGGGGTTTATATTTTTTGCCAGGTTGTCCGTTCAGAAATCCGTCACCTCGTGTGGTCAGGTCTGACGGAGCGCGTGGGTGAGGCCCGAAATTGGTTAGAGACAGGTCCGGACCAGGTTCGAAACATCGCGAAACACGAGGCCCCAAGTCGGCTCTCTTCCTAGAACTTCGGGGCCCCAATCTGATCATTTCCCATCCAAGTTTCCATTTCTTGGCAAAAACAGGGATTTAGTCAGTGATGTTGTTATGGCACAAGTAGCACGCTCAGACAGTCAGTTTTTCAAGACAATGGCGGAAACACAGGAGTCGCTGATAGGAAGGAAGCACTCTTCTACCCTATATCATTCTAGCGTCATGCAGCTTAGAAGCAGCGATCTCTGTGTAGGCATTTCCATCTTCTGCTGTCTTACTGCTGTGTCCTTGCTGACGTTCTGCATCGCTCTCAGGCTTTACTTTCCAGTATCGGAAACTCTAATAGTTAGGCGGATTACGAAAACCGCTTTAACGGACAATGCAGTGGAACCGCGTCTGGTGAACTTCCTTCAGCAAGATGATGGTTTCGACAAGAAGATTACAGCATGGCATCAACCAGTTCAGGTTATTCGGCTTAAAGAAAAAATTTCGGATGTTGTCGTAACGGGGATTCCAGGGTCAAGAATCAAGAACGACTCGTCCGTGCGTTCGTTCCGTAATCGCTGGAACTGCGTCAGCCAATCAGGTCACTGGCGCTACGATCCGACTCCTCGTCTCCTCCACTGGCCGAGTCCCCCGAGCACATGCGACGTTCGACACGCGGAGATCCCTGGAAACCTCGCTGGCCCTTTTGCCAATAACGCCGCGCTCAGAGATCCTGAAGATTGGACCGTCAGGGAAAGCTTGAAGTACGTGTGGGATCCAAGCAGCGAAACTTCGAATCAAGGTGATTGCGGCCAGTGGACTCAATTCAGCGAATCCAGATTCTGCGAAGCGCTCAATGGAAGGAAGTTACTGATAGCTGGAGATTCTCTCAACGGCCAGTTCGCTCTCTCCCTCATTCTTCGCTTAAAAATCGGTGAGAAGTTGGTTCCTGAAGGGCTCTTCTCTGCGAAATGCCTCAAAGCCAGAGCAGCTTACCCTCACCTTCCTCAGATTTGCTTTTCGTCTCCAATCTGCGAGTCTTCGGGCCGTCCGTCTCACATCTTCTTCGTTCGTAGCGATTACCTCGATGTCCCCGTGGCGTTGCCTGGCTTTTCCACGGAGAATCATTGGTGGGTGGATGAGATAGCAGCACAGGGTGTAGATGTGGTTATACTGAATCGCGGAGCCCATTATGTGGAGGATACAGCGTTCGAAGCCCAGCTCAGCGCAACTCTCCTCCACCTGAGAAACCGCTTCCCCAATCTCCTGACAATCGTCAGATCCTCTGCTGCTGGCCACGCCGATTGCATGAACTTCACCCGTCCGATCGAAACACGTCCATCGGAAGACAATCTCCCTCACCACTGGTCGGAAATTTCCCATCAGAACCGAATAGCAGAACGCCTCGCCAACTCCATAGGTGCTGCGTTCTTAGATGTCGATAGGATGACCGCTCTAAGACCAGACTCTCACAAGGGGAAGACGGGGAAGTCCGAGTCTGCTGCTGTGGATTGCCTGCACTATTGCATCCCCGGTCCGCAGGATGGCTGGTCTGACATGCTTTTCAACATGCTGCTGGACCTGCTGTAGATGTTCTACAATAAGAGATTGTGTCACTTGCCTGCATCTTATTATTGCAGCAAATTTATTACCAGACAAAACGACCCTCGAGAGACTGATGTTGTAGTTGTGTGTGGTATTGCTTCTAGTGCTCCTCCTGTGAACTGGTGTTTGCCTAACAAACCAGATGCTCGAAAAGCTATGTATTCACTCGCTTGATGAGGAGATCACAACTTGTAGTCACCTCTTAAATGCTTAACCTGATTCTTCAGCAGTTACAATGCCCTTTCCTTCACCTTCCATGATCCCTTCTGCTTCCTTATCAGTCTTTCTTTTCGTGGCTGCTGCTGCTGTCCCTGCTGGTGACTTTTCTGTGCCTCCCCCACCCACGGCAGCAGCAGCTGCTGCTGCTTCACGCTTCTCCAACATTCCTTTCCGTTTCACACTTTTCTCATTCCTCAAAGCTGCACATATATAAACAAAACGATAACAAAAATGTGGTGAGATGCAGAATAAATTGCACTTGCATTGTACTTGTGAGAGAACTTGTGGGATGTGTTTTAAGGGGGAGGGAGAGGGGGAAGGGGGAAAAGGGCGAGAGGAGCATGATGAGACAGATTGAAGCTAGATATAGATGGTGGCATGAAGTGGGATGGGTGGAAAATGAGCGTTACAAGATGGGGAACAATGACTGAAATGGAATCAGTCAGATGCGATGAAAACAAGAGGGAATTGGTAGTGAGATCAATATAAATTGGACATTCTCGCACGTGTGACCTTAAAGCCTGCACAAGCACAGCAAAACCTGAGTGTTTTACTCTGTAGAATGGATTGCAGTGCACGTTACAAGCAAAGCAGGCAGGATGTCGTCTATGCTGACCACCAAACATAGTGCAACAATAGCATGTCATAAATAGTCAGAACTGAGCTGACCTTGCAGTAAGAATTCCAGTATGCAGTGCACTGTGAGTTGATACTGTAAGACGTCCTTAAAGATAGGAACTGAGCTGACCTTCCAGTGTGGATTGCAGAGCAGGCAGGAACTCTGGGAACTGAATGTCTTCAATGCTGGCTAACACATCGGCGGCGCTCACCGTCTGCCGTTTGTTACTGCGACACACATCGTTTGCTCTGATATGAGGAAGAAATAATGTAACAGGAGGGAAAGATGGGACACGAGGGAAAGAATGTGATATGAGGGAAATGTGAAAGGAGGGTGTAAGAAACGTGTGAGTTTGCTTCCTTGTTGCTGCAGCATAAATTGTCTCTGGCAGGAAAAACAGAAAGATGCAGGGAGAAAACGAAAGGAAAGGGTGGCAAAGAAATAGGAAAAGGAAAGGTTGTGATCTTGCTCAATGACCCTGAGCGACACATTGTTTATTCAATGCGATAACAAAGAGAAGGAGTAAGAGAGGGTTTATATGACCATACGAGAAGCTAATGCGACTGTCAGTACGCAACTACAAACGAACGAACTTGCTGTAGGCGCCGGAACATTCTCTAGTCAACGAAAAATAACATGAGTCGAGACCAGGTGACCGGCCTCCACGTTGCATTGTGTGAGTGAAAGTACAAGGAGATACTCACGTGGCAGTCAGGTAGTGGATGAAAACCCTAGCGCTCTCAGAGAGCGCGAGCAGGGCATCCTTCGCCACCTGCACCTCCTTCTTCCGCCCAGACCCCTCCCCCCCTGCGCCCGCTGCGCCCGCCGCTCCCCCCAAACCTCCCGCTTGCTGCGTCAGCTCCTGCACTTTGGCTTTAACAATTCTCCGCACCACTGTCCGCGGTAATTCCTCGACTTCCCCCGCGATCTGAGCAGCTCCGCCGCTTGCTCCTCCGCCACCTCCTTCTCCGTCGATCGTCCCAGGCGGATCCCGCTTTTTGCGCGAGCCACCCCCCTTTCCCTTCTCAGCGCGGCCCTTACTAGCGTTCGACTCCTTATTCAAAGCCTGGGGGGTTTCCGCATCCATCGAAGATTGCTCTCCAGCGGGTGTCACGTCAGCAGCCTGCTGCTCGTTCGCCAGGTGGCTGGGATCATCGTCGCCTCCTCGTGGCGACGCCATCGCCTAAGACAACAAGGGACAATAGTTCTTACTGGTTATGCGAAACGCGCACGGAACGACCTTTCTTTAACGACCTTTCTTTGCGCGGTGCGGAGTGACTGCTTCCTCCACCAAGGTAACATGCACTCTATCCAAAACAAAGCAATTGTCTGCTTTCCAGTGCGGTGCAATTTACCGCACTTGACTGCACCTCACCGAAATAATCCATTCGTGCAAGGTGAGATGTAAACAGCCCTCGCGAAACGGCATGCCTTCATGATGGCTGGTAACAAAGGCTTGCCAAATCGCCCACAATGAGATATCGCTGCACTGAGTGTAACCCGAAAGGACGGGGAAAGCAACATTTTCGCCCGTAACATCCCTAACCCATCCCGCCAACTCAACGGCAACTGAAGAAACTTTTCACCCGTCGCGACTGTCGGGCACTAGATACCATTTCGAAATGCCCTGACAGCCGAACTGGGGGTGCGGGGTACCGACGCATTTCCTGACGGATTTCTCGACTGATCTCCTGTAACAGGTTTTGTGACGGATTGTTCTGTTTGATAAGCAATGAACCTGTAGAGTTGGAACCTGGGGAATTACTTAGGAAGTCTTTTTCCAGAGCTCAGCCCATTGACCTTGGAATCTGCACATAGATTCCTCCTCCTAGCGCATAGCTCACTTGACTCGTTCAGCTTAGAAGGTTGTGCGAAAGACTGCGTATTCTTCAGGCTTCTTGTGTCATCAGTGTATTAGTGAAACTCGCGTATCGACGCAGTCGTTGGCTCAAGCAGGCTAGGGTTCGTGAGTTTTGTGGGAGCGTTTGCGTGCCTGACGTAAAGACACTTTCACTAAAAGAACACGGCCTCCAAGATTCGTCTGCACCTGCTCCGTGCAACACTCGTTGAGATTTTCTCTTCTTGCCGACTCTGTTACTTGCGTCGAAGCTCAGAGTGAAGTGGTGTCGCCATTTTCTGATTACAGTCACATTGTAACACCACGTGCGTCATGGCGGAGGAACAGACGCAACAATCATTAGATACGGAAGCACCACCACCACCCTCTCCAACCCTTTCCGAGGAGTTTGGCGGCGATTTTATTATCTATAATCGGCCACCTATCAAGGAAGTCTGTCTCGCTTTCCTCCTGCTGGCGCTTGGAGCCTTAGGGATCATTGTCGGATCATGGATGACGTACCACAAAGTCTGGGGAGATCGCTCTCACGGTACGTATAACCGCATTCTGGCTGTTCACCCTAAGTATGCGTTTAACCGTATTATTACCAGGTTACGGCTGCTATATGTTTGTTCCTGACTCCCTACCTTACCACTCGCGCCCGTACCTGCGAGTTTCTCTTTCCTCCATTCTTCCCTGCTCCCCTTCCATCCTCCTGAACTTGCTCCTTCCTTGTGTAGCTGTTTATTCAGATGGAATGCGTTGTTTCCGAGCAATCTATTTGCGTTCCTACCCCTCTGTTCACCCTTCCGTTTTGTACAGGAATTTCCTTCATTATATTGGGCGTTCTACTCTTTATACCAGGTTTCCACGAAAGTCGCATTGCATATTTCGCATTCATCGGTTACAAAGACTTTTCATTCTCCAATATTCCAGCAGTCTAGTCCAACTGCCTGTGGTGCTGTATTATGAAGGATAACAGTGTGTGAATTTAATGCTTCAGTGTTATCTAAATCATTTATACAGTTGCCTTTTGTACACTGATATGGACATGTATCGGGGATATTCAGGATCAGTTTTCAGCCACGAAGAGCCCTCCAGCCTTGAGCTTTTATCTGGGTGGAAGGGATTCCGCGTGCTTCCTGACCTCTCGTTCACTCTACAAGGTACCACAACGAACCGCGTTCAGCCCCTTGTAAACGCTCTCCAAAAGCCGTGAAAGCAACGATTTTTCTCCAGCTTCCAAACGTCAATCACAGGCTACCACGTGATTGAGCCGTCGTCAATCACAAACATCCCTCCCTTTACAGGGGGGTGATGACGACGGAACAAGCTCTTTTCTGACACACGTTCCTCGGCTTTCGTTGGGACAGTCTCAGTGGCACTAATTTCACCCGCCCTTTACTGCTCTCGATATAACCCCTTAGTTACACAGGCTGCAGGATTTGACTGCCAGTTGAAGGGCTCGATTGCCTTCGTCGGCTGCATTCTCTGACAGCAGGGAAGAATGACGTCAGCGGCTCTTCAACCAACCCTGGGAACCTCCAGACCCGTCCCTTCCCAGTCCAGTATCCCAGTCCCGCGCCGCTCGAGCTTTCCACGAACTTTCCCGGTACCTTGCGTATGGGAGCAGAAGTGTTCGCCTCGCTCCAGTTTGTACAACTCGACGTCGCGGCAGCCATTGCGTCTTGTATCTCAGCCTCTTAACGGAGCAGCTAATGGCGGGTCGCAATCTAGTGAACGGCTTAGACGGTCTACGCTGAAGGTGTCTTGTCACGATTCCACGTCAGCAGGTTCGGACAGGGCAAAATCTTCAGTGTGCCGGTCAATGTCCGTTGCTGCTCCGCCTACATCCTCCTTTTCTTCCTCCTCCTCGCCCTCCTCCACTTCCTCCTCCTCCTCATCCACACTCCCTCCTCCGCCCTCACCCGAGTTTTCCCCTCCTGAAGGCGACACGGCCGGCGCGGCGTTTCTTCTAGAAGATGTGACTCTATCGGCGGGAGATCGCGACCTGCTCTCGTTAGTGTCATGGCGCGTGATGCCGGGGGATCGAGTCGGCTTGGTGGGGTCAAACGGGTGCGGCAAGTCAACGCTTCTGCGCGCTCTGATTGGTCGACAGCTGGTGGACGGCGGGAGGGTGATTGTATCGCGAGGATCGCGGATCGACTATCTGGAACAGACGTGAGTATAACGGGAGATGACAGAGGAATGATGTTCCTGTCGGTCCAGATGGGTCTGTTTGCGAGTTCTGTGTGATCGACAACTGGAAGGCGGAAGGAGGGTTACTGTAGCAAGAGGCTGGTGATTGTAGCGAGGATTACATTGCGACTGTTGTTCCCCACATTCCCGTTCGACCTCCCTCCCTCCCTCCCTCTCCCCCCACACACCCATCCCTTTTCTCCCCTTCTTCCGTCCCTCCCCACCGCCCCCACTCCCCTCCCTTCCAGTGCGGTGTCAGGGTCTCGGAGGAGCGTGTGGGAGGAGGCGAGCTCGCGTATGGATGTATAAAATCTAGCAGATGCTTCCCACCCTCAACCCCTCCTCCCTCCTCTCTTTCTTCCCATCTCTTTCCTTCCCTTCCAGTGCGGTGTCAGGGTCTCGGAGGAGCGTGTGGGGGGAGGCGAGCTCGCGCATGGATGCTCTCAACCACACCTCCCCCCCACCTTCCCTCCCTTTTTACCCATCGCTCCCCTCCCGAACCCCCTCTCGTCCCCACTCTCTCCAGTGCGGTGTCAGGGTCTCGGAGGAGCGTGTGGGAGGAGGCGAGCTCGCGTATGGATGCTCTCAATAAAGCAGAGGCTGACATGCATGCAGCCGAGGCTGAGCTGACAGACAGCGAGGATGAAGCTGAGCTGGCGGGTGGCTCGAGTGACGTGGCAGGGGAGAGGGCGAGGGCGATGGAGCAGGCTGCAATCCGATTCGTCGAGGCGCAGATGCGCTTCGATGCGATTGGAGGGGCGAAAAAGGACGAGATTGTTTCGAGGTGAGGGAGAGATGGGGGGAGGGGGGAGAGGTGGCAGGGTAGGTAGAGTACAGCGAGCAGTAGTGAGTGCAGGCAGGGTGGCTTTTGAGAAGTCTCAAGGATTTCTCACAAGGTGAGGGAAGGGAAGGGATGTGAGGCAAGGCGAGGAAAAGCGAACTTGTAACTCTGGGCTTCAAACGTCAAACTTTAGACTCGAAGTTTTACGGCGGAGACGTAAAGAAGGGGGTTCACAGTTCAAACTTTAAACATCAACTCTTCCAAGTACCGGAATTAGGCTTCCAGCTTGTTTTGAGACGTCTCAAAACAAACACCTGAATGGGGCTTCCCCCAGGTCAACGCATGGCCTGCAACTCCTCCTCTCCTTTGACAGTTTCTGACAGGTATATCTTCTTCTTATCTCCTCTTACGAGCTGTTATCTTCTTCTTATCTCCTCTTACGAGCTGTTATCTTCTTCTTATCTCCTCTTCTGTCCCTCTTTCCCCATCCTCGTCCCTCTTCCCCCCCCTTCTCTCCCCCCTACACTTTGCTTCCCTCATTCCAGTGTGCTCAAAGGTCTCGGGTTCGATTCCTCCAACTGGCACAATCCCTGCGACTCCTTCTCGGGGGGCTGGCAGATGAGAATCGCCCTGGCCAGGCTGCTTCTGGGGCAGGCGTCAGCTGCAGCAGCAGGGCAGGGGAGCAGGTCGCTTCTGCTGCTGGACGAGCCTACAAACCACTTGGATGCCGCTGCTAGGGTGAGTGGGAGAGGGGCAGGTGCTTCTAGGGTAGGTGGCATCTGTAGCAGCAGCAGGGAAGGGGGGCAGGTCGCTTCTGCTGCTGGACGAACCTACCAACCATCTGGACGCTGCCGCTAGGGTGAGTGATCCCCAAAGGTCAAGGTAGAGGTGAGCAGGGAGAGGGAGGTGAGCTGTGGCAGGTGCTTCTGGGGCAGGCGTCAGCTGCAGCCGCAGGGCAGGGGAGCAGGTCGCTACTGCTGCTAGACGAGCCAACCAACCATCTGGATGCTGCTGCTAGGGTGAGTGGGTTCAGAAGGGAGAGGTAGAGGTGAGCAGGGAGAGGCAGGTGCTTCTGGGGCAGGCCTCACATGTAGTGGCGGCAGGGAAGGGGGGCAGGTCGCTACCGCTGCTGGACGAGCCTACCAACCATCTGAATGCCGCTGCTAGGGTGAGCGGGATACTGAGGTGCTTCTGGGAAAAGGGCCAGGGGAAGGGGAGAAGCAGGGGGCAAGTCGCTACTGCTGCTGAATCCAACCATCTAGATGCCCTGCTAGAGTGAGTGAGAGAGGGGCAGGTGCTTCTAGGGTAGGTGGCATCTGTAGCAACAGCAGGGCAGGGGGGCAAGTCGCTACTGCTGCTGAAT